TATCTCTGCAATATATAGCGACTAAAGTATGCCACCTGCATTCAGTCGACACAAATGCAACGATAAATCCGCGAGCGTGTCGCGCGAAATTTGCCGGCAATCACCAAACCGATTCCCCGGGGTTCCCGAAGGACAAGGAGAGTTTATGCCTCCTTTATGCTTCCCTGAGGAGCTAGCCGCCGCTACCAGCTGCTGTTTCTGCCAGGTGGCAAAAAGGAGCGGCGGCCAGGGCAGGAAAAAGAGCGAGAGGTGCAGAATATGTGAAGGAGAGAAAGAAAGCAGAGAGGGACGGATGGTACGGTTGGTTTCTCCAGTGAGTCCAGTAGAAGTGAGAAGGAGAAAGCTGCAGTTAGCGAAGGAACCCGAAGAAGTGAGCCGAGCGAAAGAAGACAGAGGTGTAGGAGAGAGGAGAAGGGTAAAAGGAAGGCGACCCAAATGCACACACACGTACATATACATATACATGTTAAGAAGTGCAAGTAACAGAGGAAGATAGACAGATAGATAAATAGAGAGAGAGAGACAGAGAGAAACAGAGAGAGAGAGAGAGAGAGAGAGAGAGGGGGAGAGAGAGAGGGGGAGAGAGAAAGAGAGAGAGAAGGAAAGATAGAGAGACTACCTCCAAAACACCTGGCGAGTATCCTTCTTCTAGTGGCGCCTCTTCGGAGAAATTCCTTCCTTCTTCTCCAGGACCATAAGATCCATGGGAACCGTCTTCGTAGCTTGTCGCGGACACAAAGCGGCGCACGATTTAGCTTTTTCTTATTTTTTTGGCGGACACATCGTTACATTGATCGAACGACGTTCCACAAAATATGCCTGACCGTGATTGCGGGACCGTTTCCCAGGGTCCCAATGTGTCTCGCAACGGCCGTATTTTTCTGAGACTTTTCATTGTGCGGCGTGGGACCTTGACCTTGGGAAAAGTTTGGGAAAAATCCTAAAAATCGGGGATACGTCCCGACCTTTGCTATTCTTCCAAAGCTTCAAATCTAGATAATCGATTTAAATCGCGATGAGTACTTTATAGTCCAACGGACGAAGGGATACGGTATCTTATCACAAGTTGGAAACTTTAACCCTCTAATGTTGAGTCTGTGAGACAAATATCTGACCAACTCACCAATTTTCATTAAGAGTTCGGAAAAGTTTTAAAACAGCACAAATCTGTTTGCAAATTTTAATTTAATTATACTACTATCTTATAGTTGAGACTTTTCTACGCTGTGAAGAAAATACTTTTTGAGATAAAAGTTCATTTCGCAGAAATAAATTTTATATCTTACAAATTTTCAAACATTTCTTTCTTAGTGCATATCTCTGAGACAAAATATTGATTTTCAGCAAAGTTATAGCAGTGGGTTGAAAATTGCGAGTCAGACAGACCCAGATTGTACATCCCTCAAAAATATGATTGTACACGGAGAGTTAGAGGAATTACGGTTCTCACATACTGCATACATACAGGAGCATTTTGGAAAGGTGTCCTAGCAATTACACTTATCTAGCGATTTACACACATGGCACTCGTGCGCGGAGGTACTTCTCGCGAGTCTAAGAAATTGATTAGATATGCGGTGAGAAAGAATGTCTCACAGGTGGAAGGTCCGTGTCGCCGCTCAAGGATTCATATCCTCATTCGTCCTGGGAACGCCTCGCGCGAGCAGAACTCGCGTGTGACGCCAGTCGAGGAGTCTCTGAGTAAGTTCTCGCGCAGGAAGCGTACCGATCCGTGACATCACATCCGCCGAATTAATTTTCCGCGCGCGGAACGTGCGCGCTTGTTGTGCTGGATCGACGTTCCTCGATGTCCTGCGAAGGAGACGCCGATCGATTCCGCGTCTTATCGAACCGTTCGTTTTCTCCCGCGTTCACCGTCATCTACGATGAAGTCGTCCATTTGATTCGGCATCAGTACGAGCCTAACGAGCTTTAAATATCGGCTCTTTCTCTCTCTCTCTCTTTCTCTCTTTCTCTTTCTCATAGAATATCGTACCGTAGCGCGGTTATTCGCAGTTGGGATTACGGTAATGACACCGTTGACGGCACATTCGTTACGCCGACGAAACCTGTTCCTAAATCGAGGCCACGAGACGCGCGTATACAGCGACTTCCTCGTTGTCGGCCGTCGTGACTCACCGGAGTCGCAGAAAATCAGGTGTCTCGCTCTCGAGCGAGCCGGCTCGTAGCTCGCGGATCGTTTGCATAATCTTTCGTCTAACGATCGAGCCGCTCTCCGCGGCGCTTTTCGCCCCGCAGCGCAGGCCCGGATAATCCACCGTGGGAATCGAGAGTGTTTTCTTTTTTATCCTCTTTTTCTTCCCTCTTCCCTTGCGTTTTCCCTTTTTTCTCTTCCTCCCTTTAACCGGCTTTTCCTAGAGTCGTCGTAGAGACACCCAACTGGTTCTCAGACACACGTTCGCGCTCGGAACCGCCCGAACGTGTTTGAAATCTGTTGCCGATAAATTCGCACGGAGATTGCCCACGGATGGAGTATATCCCGCGCGTTATTACAACGGGAATGTTCTTCGAGGGCAAATACGCGACGCTCTGTAACGTGCCCCTTCGGATAACGATCGAATAAGTTAATTAGAGAAAAAAGCTTCCTCGGAGTCGCGGGGTCTTTTCAATCGCCGAACAACCGAGTCAAGCCCGTGCTAATTGGACGATCCGACGATGGAGATGAGAATATCCGGGTGCCATGAGAAACACCGTCGCGAACTTCATGAGAACGCATTTGAACCCCACGAAATAGCGAGAAGCGGCTCCGTTGATCGAGATAAAAAAAAAAAGGGAAGAAGGATTCTCGCGGCCTTCCGGGCTGATTTATGCACGCCTATTATTATGACACCCAACCGGTTGTTCCTGGCGAACCAAACTGATTGTAATTAAAAGCCCGTTTATCGCGCTCCAAGATCGAAAGCTACTCTCACAGTCGGATAAGTTCTCACACCGTTCATTTCTTGAATTTCCATGCGCGACGTGTAACACACAATGTAGGGAGCAAGAGCGATCCACTTTCTCGGTTACGAAAGATTTAAAGCTTTTTACATTAAATGATCGTGTAGAAAACTTGTGTATTCTCGAGTTAAAATTTTAACCCTATTTTCGACCTGAACTTTCTAACATCTGTATGTTCTGAAGGATCAGGGTATATTTAATATACATGCTCAGACAGCACAGATGTCCAAAATCGAGTCATAAGACGTCTTGAGGACGTCTTTAAGACATCTTTAAGATAAGACTTTATAAACTTGTCTTAAAGATTTCTTAAAGATGTCTTAAAGAAGTCTTATGACCCGATTTTTGACATTATGCTGTCTGGGTGGAAACTGAAGTCCTACTTAGCGTCTCTAAATGGTAGAAAACAATGTGCCACTTGCAGATTCTGAACCTCTTTACCTCTCGGCAGAATTAGTAGGTTAAATGGAATTAAAAGAGGTTGATATAGGCTTCAGAATATCAAAATAGATGTTAGATGGAATGTGTTGTAGTAGAGAGTAGGATCAAAATTTCAACTTGGGTTGTGACATTCATGCGAAAAGTCCTATATTGATTCTCTGGTGTTAAGCTCGAAAGAGGCAACTGAGACGTTAGCCGTACGTCCACAACAGTAAGCACACAACAGGGCGAATAAAATCTCGACGCGGGGGTGATTAGCAAAGCGAGAATGTGTAATTTCGCAGCGACTCACGCAGAACCGAGATGCAAGAACGGCGAGAGAACTTTGTAAGGCCTTTACACGTTAATGAGCATCGCCCCTCTTACTCGCGCGTTCACCCCATTTTGCTCGCCACTGCCATCGGTTCCTAGCGACGTTTCGAGACGCGCTTATTACTATTTCCTTTCTGCACGTGCTCGTTACGTGGCGCATGCAGTACCTCGCCGGGCATGACGACGCTCCGGCAATTATTTGGATTCATTACGAGCAGGAAGGGGACTTCCCTTCAGGGCCTCACCGTCCCGCGCCTCGCCCCGCCGAACGTCAGCGCGCCTCACCGTGACGGGGGCCCAACGGACCCAAACGCCCGCGGCCTCCTTTCGGCGATTCGCGTGCTACCGCGGCAGCTGGGAAATCATTTCTTTCTTTACTTTTTCTCTTCTTCTGTTTCTTTTCCTCTTTTTCTTTCTTTTCGCTCTTTTTTTATTTCTTAAGGCGCGCAACATCTTATCGCCAGGCTAGGGCGAAATTCAAGTCGGTGACGGTGGTGATGGTAGTGGTGATCTTGTCCTTCAGAACCGCACGTAGGATGCCCACCACGATTCTCCGGCGAATTCGACATCGATTTTTCCTCGGCAGAACATTAGCGGCAGATGGAGAGAAAAGATCGCGTGCATATCGTTGACTTGAGAATTTTTTAACATGTATCATAGTATTTGTTGATCTTGCATTAAATTTCGACTCTATTAGTTAATTGCGAGTAAGTTTTTATTTTTAATTATGTCGACTTTTTTCTTGTCTCAGGATCAAATTGGCTACTTGAAACAGCTCGCGACTTGTAAGCACGGATTGGTAACGACTCGGCACATTTTTATGTAGAGGGATAATCGATTTCGAGTAGGTCGAAGAACTCGTGTACAAAACGCGCTGTATAATCGCGACGTGAATGAGCTTGTAGAGATTGGCATCAGCACATCCTCTCCATTGTGACGATCAAAGTGCGACTGTACGTCAGGTCACGTCACGCTATTAAAATGGGGCGAATGAAAGGCGGCGGCGGCGACGGTAACGAAGGATAACGTATACGTCGCTGTGCTGTTGGCGAAGTAAAAGAGAAAGTAGGTAAGGACGGAGAGACAAATTGCGCCGGACAGAAGGACCGGAGGAGTCCCAGTTCGATGTCAGAGAACACCTGGCGCTCATCTGACCCGATAAACCTCCCTCGATCTCGTCCAATACCGACGAGGAGCGAGTTTCGGGGCCCGCAGGCCCCGCTTCGACGGGTACGTTGAACCCCCTCGACGATTCTAACGTCTCTCTCTGTCCCTTTGTGTTCCAGGATTCGCATGGTACCGAGGAGCCGAAAGCAGCGCCAGTTACTGACACGTCCCAGGACGTTCGAGTACGTTCTGGCTCGCAAAATGGAACTCACACCATCGTGACGTTCTCCAGGAAGTGGCATACTTGCGATCCACAGGATCATCATCTTACGGTGAGTATTGCAATTCCAAAATGCGCATTTTCACACGACAATTGCTTTAATATTTATCATTACTGATAAACTCAATTTTATGACTCCCGATTTTTTATCGTCCAAATAAACAATTTCCCGTAGAGACAGTCATGTGATGAGTACGATGTTACTCGTCCCGCCGTGTATAAATAATCGTCGTGAACATCTAAATCGAACGTGATAAGAATGAAAGATTGCACGAGTCGAGTTGAATTAAAACCTGCCGCGGTTGAAAAGCACGAGGGTTTGTTCCGAGCGTCAATCCTGGCTGAGAATAAATCTCGCGGATCTCAACCCTCTGGGGGTCTCTCAATAATATTACGCGTAATTGAAAGGAGCCACTCTCGGACGCCGGATGGCGATTCGCGAGCGCATTAACGCAGCAAGAGCCGGAAATTTATCGCGCCTCACTAACGCCAAATTACCTTCCGACCTCTAATCCGCTACTCTGTAATTAAAACGCGTGCAAAGAAAGCAAACCCGCTGTATACATCTCGCTGCGGCGTACCGGGGCCGAACATGGGGGTCCTTGAGAGGTCTGGGAGGACAGGAGGACGAGCGAGGAAGAGAGACGGAGGACCGGGGCCGGAAGATTTACTGTATAACCGCCGCGGCTCCGTAGAATTCGCGGAGAGAACCCTCTTTCGATTTATGCCCGGCGAGCAGGGGCCCCGCGGCTTTAAGAGGCCCTCGGGCCTCGCTGTCTCGAATTCCCGCGGCGGTATTTAGGCGTTTAGCATGCCGTCTGCCCCCTTTCGCGCAACCCTCCAGCAATCAACGTATCCGATCCTAACTGCAGTCATGCCACCATAATCCCTGCGAGATAATATCTCGCGTATTTCTGCCCCGTCGTGCAAAGTATTAAAAAAGACAAGGGAAAAAAACGAGAAAATTAAAACGCTGTAAATCCCGCTCGTTAATACTCGCGAGAGACAATGTTCCGGTCGAGAGGGGGAAAGAGAGAGAGTCGCTTTCAATGACGAGGTTCGATGATCTCAGGGAGATACCATCAGGGTGCTGTGGGCCTTACATCAGAACGATCCGGAATTGAACACGGCGGTCTGGCACGGCAAGAAACGGGGCGGTAGGGCCCTGAGACTGAAGACAGCCGCGACCCATCCACCACCGCCACAAACGCGAAACAGACTGCATTGGGATGTAAAGTTCAGCCAGGTAAAAGAGAGTCTCTCTAATAAACTCCTGAAACCTACCTCCGATATTTTTGTCTTATCAGCGGCAGCTTTAAAAAACTGATTTCATTCGTTGGTTTGGCGATATGATGAATTATACACTGAGAGAAACATGTTTGGTATTTGTTGCTATAATTATATAGAGAAATAATTACTATAAATTATGACCAAGACAACCATTTTTTAGTCAATTGCACTATAATTTTAGTGATAATAACCTTATATGCATGTTACTACTACTATCTTCGCGTTGGAATAACCAAAAAATATAGTTGGTACCAAATTGGGTTCAACTATATTTTTTGGTTGTTCCAAAGCAAAAATAATAGTAGTAACATACATACAAGGTTATTATCATTAAAATTATGATACAATTGACTAAGAAATGATTGTCTTGACCATAATTTATAGTAATTATTTCTCTATATGATTATAGTTACAAATGTCAATCATTTTTCTCTCAGTGTAGCTCCTTGGAGATATCCTGGTTGCAAAGCTAGAACTGAAGTAGTCGATGGTAAATGAAGATCCGCCTCTGTTGTTCCCGTTTGAATGAATGAATGAATGAAAATGTATTTCTGTCCGTCTAGTGTGAGTATGAGAGAAATAGAATAAAAACTTAATCAATTCTCTCTCTTTCTTTCCCCTTACGACTTTCCATTCAAGTCTGAATGTTTCTCCGCCAATTTTCTCGACTGATCGCCGGCGAATCGCGTCAACTAATAATATTCTTGTCCTGCAGTTCTCAGTTTCGTCCAAAATGGACACCACATACTGGTGCAAGATCTTCCAATCTCCCCTGGATCAGAAGCACCACATGATAGGGGTAAGTAAACGACGATGCAAATTCTCGCTAACAGGTTTCTCGAGTGGACGTAAACCTCTTGAGAAATACTCCGTGTCTCGTGAGCGAGCCGGGCGCTGGGCTGATGGAATGCAAAGGTTGGGCCTTATTCGTATGTGCTTCACGAATCACGGTCATTCATGCCGGACGTCGCGCAGCGTAGACGCGCGTCATTAGAATAAAGAAGAGCCCCGGAATGATGTCACCGCGTGTTCCGAAACGCTCGCGGACTGTCAATGGGATCGCGCGGGAGAAAGGATCATCCCGTTCCCAGGATCCCTCCGTGAAAAATCTCAACCCAAGCCCGTTCAGACTTTGTGCAGATTGACAGTCCTGAAACATAATTCTCCCGGCGAAAGACTGAAAGAATTTTTCCGTGAGATATTTGGGAAAAGATACTTGGTTTGTGCAGAGTTTGTCATATTTGTCAAATAAAATGGAAAACGGAATTATCCACTTTCGAAGAATTAATTATTTTTATTATAATAAAATAAACAGCATCGTGTATTTTTTTACATTACTAACGCGAGAACTTTCTATTTTCCTTTTAATAATCAGACTTCTTATGAGAATTGAATAAAGACAAAAGAATTTTTTTCACATAGCTTTCGAAAATCGGGACAATTGAAGGGGTGAACTTACTTCGCGATTTTCACGACGTTACCTGCATTATTTATGGATTTCAGTATACTCCGCTTGTGGAGAAGGCCAACGAGGACCTGGTCCACCATATGATCCTGTATGAATGCGCGTCGACGTCGACGATCCTTAGTCCCCAGACCAAGTTGGCCGGCGCTCCTTGCTACAGCTCGAGGAGCCCGATGCCTACGGAATGGGAAACGTGTATGCAGCCCGTCCTCGCCTGGGCCCGCGGCAGTAAAGGTAAATTATCTACGAAACGAAGACAAAGTCTCGAAATAGTCGATTCTCCGTGGCGTGCATTTTGGCGGGCAGCGATTTCCTGAAGGCAAAATCCAAAGGTACAGCGCAATGTTCGAGCACATCCATAAGATATTTCGTATCGTCAAAAGATATACGAGGAGATCTTCCAATTCGCCGCGGCGAATCGCGTAATTTAAAGAAAGAACAAAATCTATTTTGTACAACGGCCTCTTTTCTTCAACGGAATAACCTGTATTTTACTCGTCGTAGGCGAATGGCTGCCGGAACACGTCGGTATACCCGTAGCAGTGCACAGCAATAACACGTATTACATGCTGGAAATTCACTATAATAATCCGCACAAGAGGGAGGTGAACGACAGCAGCGGCGTAAGACTTCACTTAACTTCGGAGCTCCGTCCTCAGGAAGCGGGCATCCTCGTGGCCGGCGTGGCGGTGAGCCCCCTTCATCTGGTACCCCCGAGGCAGAAGGCATACGCCACCGCCGGATATTGCACTCCTCATTGCACCAACACGGTAATCGAAGACTCACGCATCATATTATTTAAATTAAATTACTCAGACACTAAGAGAAATACATCATGATTTTTCACAAACGTCATTTTGATTTTATGTATACTTTTTTGTTTATTCTAAAACGCCTCAACACATACTTTTTACAATACATACATACATATACAGTGTGTCCCATAAGTTCGGCAACGGCAAGAAAACTCGGCGGGAGAACATTTTAGAGAAAAATGTTTCGAATAAAAGTTGTAAGGCTTAAAAAGTCGCATTTAATGACAGTAGTTATTTAACCTAAGATGACGTCGCCAAGGTCAGGACAAGGTCAACTTTGCTTTTTTAGATAGAAATATATATTTTTTATTACGGCATTTTATTCTACGTGAAAAAGCAAATAACTTTTGTTTAAAAACATTTTTTATACGACCTCTATTTTCTAAGATATTTACGTAAATATCTACAAAATTATTGGTTTCAATAATTTTTTACTTGAATTCTACCAACTTTACCGAAAAATATCAAGAGATAAAAATTATTTATTTTGTTATCATAGAGCTCTGAGAATTTTTTCAGAATTTTATATTAATTTTTTAGTACTGCATTTTCTTGCATTTTCTTGAAGTACTAAAAAGTTAACACAAAATTCTGAAAAAATTCTCAGAGCTCTTTGAAAACAAAATAAGCAATTTTTATTTCTTAATATTTTTCGGTAAAGTTAATAGAATTCAAGTAAAAAATTATTGAAACCAATAATTTTGTAGATATTTACGTAAATATCTTAGAAAATAGAGGTCGTAT